TTTTCTAGGTGTGGAATTTTATGAGGGTCAAGCATTGGGATCTGGCACTGGGGGAGCAATATTGTGATTAGGGATTTTTGTATCTTTGATTTTGCTTTCTGATTGACTCGCTGGTAGTAGTTGGCTTCCTGGGGAGATGTGCTTTGTCAGTTCCAGTCTACATAGGTTATAAAAGTTTTTATAACTTTGGGTCAGGGGAGGCTTTTGCCTCTAGAATGGATGGGAAGGGAGGTGATTCGAGGGGCGCATGGCATTGGTATTTTCTTCCTACAGTAGGCAGGACTGTAAGTTGTGGAAAGCTAGTAAAAGTAGCAAAACATAGGTTGAAAATTTGTCAAACAAAAATAGTCAGAATCAATTATGGGATATTGTGGGAAATAGTAAAATACGATTGCCCGAGGGACTGGTGACTTACAGCAGTTGTAAGTCATGTAACTTACAGCAATTAATATAATAATTACCAGCCTTCAGCGAAGTTCTAGAACTGTATTTTACAATGTAATAAATCTCCAAAGAATCTGGGGGTAACACTGGACATATCACTAACCTTCTGGAAAAAAACAATACCTGGAAAAAACAGCTGCAAAATTGAAAAAACGCAACAATCATCTGAACAATCTGGCTAGAACGTCCTATGACACTAATGTTAACACCCTATGAACAACAATCTTGTAATTTGGTTTATTCCACAACTAAATATCATGCCAGCATGTGGCTTAATGGTGCCCACACACAAATTGTTGATGTCTAATTCTGTATCATTTCTGGCACATTGTATCTCACCCCTGTGTTACCAGTACTTAACAATATCATACCACCACATATTAGAAGACCAAAAGCTCTGTTTAGAGCTGTGGTCAAGGATGTTGAATAACAAAGCTGTCTCTATTCACAAGGATAATGTACAGCCCATCACAAGATTGAAATTCCATAGGCCAGCATGGAAAACAGTTATTCATGTAACATTTACCCAGTTTATTTATTTTATTTATTTTATTTTATTTTATTTTATTTTATTTTATTATTATTTTATTTTATTTTATTTTATTTTATTTTATTATTTTATTTTATTTTATTTTATTTTATTTTATTTTATTTTATTTTTTATTTTATTTTATTTTATTTTATTTTATTTTATTTTTATTTTATTTTATTTTATTTTATTTTATTTTATTTTATTTTATTTATTTTATTTTATTTTATTTTATTGGATTTCTATACCGCCCTACTCCCGAAGGACTCAGGGCGGTGAACAGCCACAGAATAAAACTGTATACAAAATACAAAATACAAAAATTTAAAATAGAATAAAAACGAATTAAATAATTTGGCTGAACAAATTTAAAATACCCCATAATTTAAAAACAAATTAAAATTTACATTTAAAAAGGGGAGAAGATTTAGGCCAGGCCAGCTTGATGAAATAAAAAAGTCTTAAGCGTGCGACGGAAGGTGCGCAGATCCGGGATCCTCCGTATCTCCGGGAGGAGCTCGTTCCAGATCGTAAGTGCCCCCACAGAGAAGGTTCTCCCCCTAGGGGCCACCAGTCAACATTGTTTGGCCAACGGCACCTGGAGGAGCCTCTCTCTATGGGAGCATACTGGCCGGTGGCAGGCTATTGGTGGTAGCAGGCGGTCCTGTAGATAACCAGGTCCTAAGCCATGGAGCGCTTTAAAGGTGATAACCAAAACCTTGAAGTGCACTCGGAAGACCACCGGGAGCCAGTGCAGCTTGCGCAGGAGAAGTGTTACATGGGAACTCCATATCACTCCACGTTTAACCCCAAGAATGCCTGGAGAGAGTAATGGTCCAAGGTACTTTCTTGGGGCTTGACCATTAATGATCCCTTTACCAAATCACCTGGTTTTGATTTGCCTTGAAATTAAACAAAATTAGATGTGATACTGAAAAAAGTGCCTCTTCCCTGTATCAGTGGGCATGTTAGATGGTACTGATATGTAAACTATTAAACATATTGTGCAAGATTTCCCTCTGGTTCCCTAGAAGATCTGCATGAAGCAATGCCAGAGGTGATCACCTGGATAACTGAATTAAACATCCAGTTATGAGGACACTGCCTTACCCTCATAGAAGTTTTATATATAATTATGTGGACAGTGTATATCAGGGGTGTCAAACTGGATTTATTCGAGGACTGGATCAGCATTGTAGTTCTCCTCCATGGGCCAGTTGATGGGGGGAGATGGGACGGATGGCTCCTGAAGCACCCTGGCACCAGGAGGCATTGCTGGTCCTTTCCTATTTCCAGGCTGGCCCCATGGACCAGATTTAAGCACCCCGCAGGCCAGATTTGACACCCCTGGTGTATATGTTTACTTCTCTTGTGCCATGTTATCATGTACATTAAATAATAATAACAACAATAATAAAAATAATAATGATAATGTGTTTTCCAACTTTGTATGACCTAAGGGACTTTATTTTTTCTGTAAGAAACTGCATTGTTATGAGCTTATGTTGTGTCGTTAGTGACATAATATGACCATTATCTTCTGTGATTATGTGTTTGTACTACTTCATTTTCAAACCATCAGGGTCTTCTCAAATTGACTCTTGCCTTCATAATATGTATCCAAAATATCTAAGCTTTAGCTTCATTATTAGTTCTTCCTTCTGTGAGGGAGTGGCAGTAATCAGCTAAAAACAACCTCAATTACCAGTCCTGGTGCTTTCAAGTTATATAATCTAATAACATTAATGTGATTCCTGTTGACTCAAATATATGTTCTCTGTATCCAACTTGATTAACACAGAATGAAAAATTCATAAAAATATGACAGTTGGTAGAATCTTTTTTTTTTTCTTCAGTTCAGCGCATATATGCATATTACCTCTAGATTCTGATGGTGATAATTTCATATTTGTTCAAACCAGGCTAAGCCCAATATCACTTCAATCAAGCCCAGCAGTATTCATAGGCCATTTGGGACATCACATGCTTTCCCCAAATTGTCTGGAGTGTTTTCATACCAGTGCAGTGCAGTGCTAAGATCCTTGCTTTTCATATTTTGTAGTGTTGATCGTTAGTCTTCTGGGAAGCATGCTGATTATTTCTGTGCACTGCCTATACACAGCTGGCGCTAAATTAAAGTTAGAAAGTTAAAGAAGCTGCCACAATGACAGTGTATTAATGGATAAGGCAGAAAACTGTAATTATCATTATTTCATGTTATTTTATTTTCCAATGTCTGCTTCACAACAAATAATTAAAATGTATACTAAAAAATAGAAGCAACTTGGAAATATGTTATTTTACTCGTAGACAGAATTCCAAATGTCTCCACATCCTCTTGCAGCTAATTTAGGCTGGAATATCTATTAGGCTGTTGTGTGCCAATTTTTAAATTAATGAACAATAGAAATCTGCAATATGTATCAAAATACATCATTTTACAGGTAGTCCTCAACTTATGACCAAAAATAGGACCAGAATTCCATTGCTAAGCAAGGCAGTTGTGAGTCACGCCTAATTTTATTATCTTTATTTGCCATGGCTGTTAAGTGATTCACATGGTTAACTGAATCCAGCCTCCCCCATTAAAATTTTACATGTCAGAAACTGGCTGGAAAAATTGCAGTTTGCAGATCACATGACTTTGGGATCCTGAAAGTGTCATAAATGCAAGGATCAGTCATAAGTCACTTTTTTCAGTGCTGTATTAACTTTGAACATTCGCTAAATGAATGGTTAAATGAAATCAAGACTACCTGTACTTATTTATACTTATGAACAGTCTAAATTCTATCATATGGTTTTTATACGGGTTTTTCCATGTAGGCAGTAGCCAAAATGTATTTTAACACTTTGGAATCAAAATCACTCAAGTTCCTTTTAAGGTCATCAGTATCATCCAAAAAGCTGTCTCTTTTATGTTGTCTCAACTAAACAATTATATATTATTTCCAAATTTGGTGAAACTATGTTACTCCAGATTCCTTGGTTTTATCCATGAGATATAGCTGGATCTCTCAAATTTATAAGAGCTTCTTTATGCTTTCATATAAAAGGATTAAATAAGTTATGGTGATTGCAAAGGTTTTTGGTCATTTTCCCCCTTCGTATTGATTTTAACACGGCATAGTTAAGCGGTAAATTGTACTGTATTTTTGCCTAACTTTCCAGAGTTCCTTACAGCCTGGATAGAGAATAAAGTCTTTTTTAAAATCCTCTTCCTGAAGAAGTAAGTGCTAGAAGATAAGTCATTCACAGATTATGGAAAACAGATTATTCAGATCATTATGTAGAAAACTTACAAATTTTGAATTTAATTCATTATGACAAATAAATATAAATCAGTAAACCTAACTGTCCATAATTAACAACACAACTATAGGAGCCCTTGAGACAGCAAATTGATAGAACACTTCAGTTGTATTACTACAAGGCCTTGGACTTCATCAAAATTAAAAGTAATTTCCTTTTCAAGCATGTCTCTCAAATTCTCTTTAGCAAGATTTATTAAGAAGAGAGAGATGTTACAAGACTAGCAACTGAAGTACTTCTCAATAAGTAACCAGTCTATCACCAACATATAATTGGGGGGGGGAGGATTTTCCTCATTTTTTTTAAAGTTTCTAGGAAACCACAAACTGTTAGGTCTCTTCAGTGATAACAAAGGACTTGGCAGTAACTGCTTATAAAAGCATTTTTTAAAATTCTTATTAGTTTAGGAACTGGTCATTACAAATAGTTTCCTAGATTTCCAGATCATTATTCTTCATTTGGCACATACTGTAACTTTTATCCTAATTCTATGGCTAGATGAATTGATGACAATCATTGGAATTTTACTGATTATGGATGATTGGAAAGAGAGACAAAGTAATCTCAGAAATTCAAATGTCCTCTAGATATGTGCTATTATAATACATGCATTATTGATGTAATGGGACTGTAAGAGAAGTTATCCATGCTTGTTTTACATTCCAAATGCAAGGACTTTTTAGACATCAATATTTCATTTTGTCATCTCATACAGGTGTTTTATAGAAGACAAAAGCTCCAAGGTGGCCTGGTTAAATCGTTCTGGTATCATTTTTGCTGGTCAGGACAAGTGGTCTCTGGACCCTCGAGTAGAGCTCCAGCAGCTTTCTCTTCTGGAATACAGCCTTCGGATCCAGAAAGTGGATATCTATGATGAAGGGTCATATACATGCTCAGTCCAAACGCTGCACCATCCCAAGACTTCTCAAGTTTATTTGATTGTTCAAGGTAAGAACTCATGTTTGGAAATGGGAGCAGAATTTTGGAAAACTACTATTGTAATGAACAATTCTATTGTGAGATTTATTTTTAGTGTCTTGGGGAGTTGTCTGAAAAATTTATAATAAAGCCCTGATTTGCATTCCTTTTTTTCCTGCTAAGGAAATCCTAATTGAGAAAGAATGGCTGGTTTCCATTTCCTATCTCTCCTTCACTGTTCTGATGTGGCAGTATATTAGCAAACTAGGGTACTATTCACTTGGTCTTTCTGTGTAACTAAACAATCTAATTTTGAAGAGAAGGATATGAAGAGGCACTGAAAATTAAAGTTTGAACTCTGCACAATTTTCTTCCCAAAATAAGCCTTTATGAGAAGTTGGGTCATCACAGAATTGAGAAATGTATAGTGATTATGAATACTAATACTAATATTGCCTCCAGTATATGAAGCAAGTTGCTGTTTAATATTTGTTGCAAGGAAAATGAATGAAGAATTAATGCATACATATTTCCCTATGGTTTTCCCAGAAATATTTAGTTGGCAATACATTTGTGACAATAATGCAAATATTTTTCTTACACTGTAATACTGTATTGTACTGATTGGTGTGACTGGCAGAAATGATAGTAATTTCTAGATAATAACTGAAATAAAATATTATGAAATATAATCAAAATCACATGAGTCCATGACTTCTTTCATTCATGTATTTTGATTTCAAACTTTCAAGCATATTTTTAACTTTACATAAAGGCATATACATTACATTAAGCTAAACAATGGTTAGCACATTTTGATAAATGGAGCCATCGTCGTTGGTAAATGATGATTTATGGCTTAAGGTTTGCATCTTTTCCAACAACTGTGTCTTGATTTGACATGCCATTCAGATCTGAATTTATTAAATTCTGTTTCTTTGGTTTTGTCTGGCAGATTGTCAGCGTAAACACAGTGATATCAAACAATGGTTTGCAATTTAGCAATATGTGTGAATAATGTTGTTTGGGTTTGTTCAGAAAAGCATATATTCAGATTATTCAAGATATAGCATGTCATATAAATGTAGCTAAGAGTTTAATCTGCATAGAGACAGAACCAGGTTTGTGTGCTAAAAGCCTATGGTTGCAGTTCCTGATATTGTCAGTCAGAAGTTTTAAGCCACTGGTTACATTAAAAAAAAACAAAAAAATTTATGCTTGAGTCTCCAAAGAGCCACTTCCAGACAGAATAGGTTACTAGGCTACTTAAGCAGTTAATCTGTCCTGGTCTAAAATAGATTTGGGTCTTCTAAATCATATGAGGTTTAGAGAGGGAAAACAGATTCTACAGTTCTGTGGATATTCACTAAGTTCTTCTGTTCAGACTGGAATTTATTTTTGCATAAACATAGAATTGGTTTTTAATCTGCTGGTCTTTATCTGAAGCAATAAATATAAATGATATCATGACCAAATTTCTGCCCTTAATTTGTACCTTTTAAGATAACCAATGGTAAACTAACATTAATCTGCAGGACAAATAATTCAAAATGGGCAGGATATTCTCTTATGCCTGCTAAGATGTGAATGACTGATTACTGATTTCACACTATATTTCACACTATACATCATGTGAAATGCTGACAGTAGGTGGAGATTTATCACAAAGAATATAGATGTCAGGGCAGTCACATGACTACATCGCTGCAAATGACATCCATATCATTTTTAAATTAATTAAAAAGTCGAGAATTTATTAACTACTTAGGATTCAGGTTTACCGCTTATATATTATTCCTTTTCATCTTATAATGCTTTTTTTTTTCTTTTTTAATTAAAATATTCCCATATTAGATTCTGAGATTTTCACTTTTCAGTGACTTTGACAAGACAGTTGGTAAGAGTTTCAGATGACATTGCTTCAAAACATTTTTCAAAATTTTGATAAATGAATGCCCTCTGTACAGTGGTACACTTGAACAAATAAACAGTATAATTAGCTTTTGTGGGCAGACAAATGGGGTAACTGATAAAACTTTTCTAAAATTATCCAAGAAAATAATTTGGAATTAATGTCTGCAGGGCAGGTCTCTCTTTAGTAGCACTACAACCTGAAAAAGCCCAATGGACAACAACTTCTCTTGGGATTTCCCTGAATCATGGGAAGCCAGAGAGTCTGGATATCAAGGAAGAGATGAATTGAACAATGAAAGATATTATATTTACATTCATAGATTTCTTAAATGTATCCAAAAGTTAAGAGCAAATTAACTTTTATCAGAAGGGCATTCAGAGGACCCTGAATATGTACAAGCATATTAGTAGGGCATTTGTAACTGTTCTTAGCTCTTAGGAATTTAGATAAATACCATCACCTTGGTCTTAAATCAGAAATGAATTGGAAGCTAATGAAGATCACATAAAACAAGCATATATAATCATTATCCAAGTGCAGTCACTATCTTGCTGCTAAATTTTGCATAAACTGGCATATATTCGGAGTGTCTTCAAGGACAGTCTCACCATAATCTGGATGAAATGTTAACAGGGAATAGATTGCTCTGGATATAGCTGTAGTTGTATAACAGCCTAAACTGGCAAAAGTCATTTTTTTTTTTAACATTTTTAATATAGCACACAGTATGCTCCCAGTACATTTAGATTTCATAGCCAAAGAATGTCAGTAAAGTAGCTGAATTTATCAAGTATAAGTAAAGGTAAAGGTTCCCCTCACACATATGTGCTAGTCATTCCCGACTCTAGGGGCGGTGCTCATCTCTGTTTCAAAGCCGACGAGCCAGCGCTGTCCAAAGACATTTCCTTGGTCATGTGGCCGGCATGACTAAATGCCAAAGGCTCATGGAACACTGTTACCTTCCCACCAAAGGTGGTCCCTATTTTTCTGCTTGCATTTTTTATGTGCTTTCGAACTGCTAGGTTGGCAGAAGCTAGGGCAAGTAACGGGAGCTCACCCCGTTACGCAGCACTAGGGATTTGAACCGCTGAACTGCCGACCTTTCGAAAGTTACACTGGGAATACTAAATACAATAAAGTTGCTTTATGGAGCCACCCAGAGTCATCTTGTGGCAAGATGGGTGGCAAACCAATTTAATAAATAAATAGGAGGTCCAGTTTCTCAGAATTGTTCCCATTCTCAGCCTCCAAACACTGATCCAGATCTATGCTGCTTATCTTACCTCCTTTTGCAAGATGATTTTAAAGTGAACTTCATGATTTGGAATTCTGGGTAGAAATGGGAGTGGTTTGCTTTCCACAGGTATCCACTTCCTTATTCCTCTTGTAAAAACCTGTTCCAAAACACAAAGAAACCGAAACTTGAGTAATATTTTTTCTAGGGATACCAGGAAAGTCTCAAATGGGCTGTAACTTGTTAGAACATGATTAGTCTCAATTCAGAGAAATTGCCACTTCTTGTTAGCTTTAGCTACTTCTGAAACAGCTTGAATGCAGGATAAAATGTTAAATTTCTTTGCTGGGCTAGACATATTTATTCATGTTGGCTCCATTTCACTTCCTCTTTTTAAAAAAAATCAGGATTTTTTTTGCAATCCATTTCACTAAACAATTGAAAATTTGGGAAATTTGCAATTTTTTGAAAAAGGAGAATAAATTTTCATTCATATGAGATATAAATAGTTCAAATGAATAATGAAATATATGCAATTATTAAGGATGGGACAAAACTGATATAAATACTATGCAATAGTTAATGCAAATCCATAGTTCAGCATTAGACCAGGGATCCTCCAGAGCTGCAGTCCGGTACCAGACCGCACACCGTTCAGCACCAGGCCGTCCGAGCATCATGCAAGTGTGCGCACGCAGCTCCACTTGTACATGCAGCAGGCACTCGTACATATGCACAAAGCTCCATTTGTATGAGCGGTAGGCACTCTTACATGCCCATACCTGCCACTTCTATAGAACCATTTCCTCTCCACCCCCATCGGTCCACAAAGCTGGAAATGTTGGGGACCACTGATTTAGACAGCAGTTCAGAAGATGAACTTGAGAACTTTAAATCTTGTCTTGGACATCTTTACTACAATTTAGATTGTTAACGGGAATGCTATCCTTGATTTATAATTTGCAGGAGAAGTTCCTCACAGTCATACTAACATGTGATAACTGTCATTAACATGCAATAAACAAATGAATGCTAACCCTTAGTCAAACTGAAAATCAGTGCAATTTCCTGCATTCTTATTGACTTCATTGAATCTCCATTCCTCTGCTTTGCCAGAGTTATTCACAATGCTATTAAAAGGAAATAGTAATTGGTACTATAAGATATGCTAAGAGTGAAGTGCTATTAAAAAGGAGACAAATTTAAAGCAAGATTTTTTTTTTTCAAGCAGGCTTTCAGTTATACCTCAGCTGCAGCAGCTCTGGCCTATAGAAGCTTTTCACGATCAAAGTACCCTTTGAACACATATGAATAATGCCTTTTGTGAAGGCCTTACTAATTGGAGAGATAAAATTACCATCTGCAGAGAAGATGATACATTTTTTTTCCTTCTGTGCTAACCAGCCATTTAATTATGAAGACCTTGTGCCCTTGACTTCCTGCCTATCCAGCAGGATACTCCAGGACTGCAAAAAAGAAAGTCACAGGAACAGCTATGTTGCTCAATGAGAAACATTCCAAAAGCATGCACTGTAAGGCCACTATTAGAGGCAGCCACATATCTGGAAAATATATATGATATATATTTGCTGATATATATCAGCAAATTATATATTATGTCTGATTATAGGTAGTGCTCAACTTACAACCATTTGTTTAGTGACCCTTCAAAGTTACAACGGCACTGGAAAAAAGTGACTTACTATCAGTTCTCACACTTGCAACTGTCATAGCACCCCCTTCCCCATGGTCACGTGATCAGAATTCAGGCACTTGGCAACCAGCATATATTTATGAGAGTTGCAGCTTCCTGGAGTCATATGATCATCATTTGGGATTTTCTTATCCAACTTTTGACCAACAAAGTCAATGGAGAAAGCC